CCCCGCTGCTGCCCGGGCTGCGGAGGGGAGAGCGCCTTGGCCGCTGGGTTTGTGCACCGGGGCAGCCGGGGGCGTTTAGGGGCGCCTTGTGCTGGGCGGCGGGGCCCGGGTAAGCCCCTTACCTGCCGGGTGCCCCCGGGGAGAGCCGTGGCATGGCTGTGGGTCCTGTGCTCTCTGGGTGTCTGAGGGTTTGCTTTGGGATCCCAAACCCTTTCCCCGTGCAGGGTTATGAGGCAAAGACTGCTTTAACTTGGTTTTTTGGTGCTGCGTTAATGCTTTTTGCTCGTTCTGTGTCCATTTGCAGCCTCGCTCGTGGTTTCCCCTGGTGTGGAGGCGAGTTGTGCTTCCTGCTGGGAGAGAGAACAGCCTTGGGAAGCTGCTCCATGACCCACAGCTGTGCTGAGCCCGGCAGTCTGTCCAGGTAAGAGCAGGGCTTATACTCCCAGTGAGGAGCTGGGGTTTGCTGTTGGAAGATAGAATGTGCCCATGCCTTTAAATGCAAGGACAGGCAGAAGCTGGGAGGGACCCTGAGCAGGTTTGGTGGAGGTTTTGGCCTCCAAACCTCCAGGTTTGGAGGCCGCCATCTTAAGTGTGGCCTTGGCTAAGTTCCGGTCCTGGTGGCGCCATCTTGAGTGTGGCCTCGGGGCGGACTTCTGGGCCACGGCCGCCATCTTTGGTGTGGTCTCGGCACAGTTTGAAAAGACCTTGACTGTGGGGGAAGTGTCCAGGAAAAATGATTCCTTTTTTGCAGGGAGGCAGTTTGCAAGGACAGGTGAGTTGCTGTGCTCTCTAGCAAAAATACTCCCCTTGGGATGTCCAGGGTGAGGAAATGTTGGCCACGTGTGGGCTGGAGCAAAGGTGTGTGGGTGCCTGAGTGTGACAGCCGTGGGTGTGCAGGAAGGGGGTTCTGGTGCCATTGGAGCTGCCAGGGAGCCAAAAAGGGCACAGTTGTCTGAAAAAGGCAAAATGTTTTAGCTTCTGTTGACACGTGTACCAAAGGAGATGCAAATTTTCCCTTTCTCGTCTGCAGACTTCACAATGCTCCCCAGGAAAGGAAGCTTTAGATTCCTTCCCAGCTTTATGCTAAAGGTTTCCTTCCTCCTGTCTCAGCACCCTTTCTGCTGTTGGGAGAGCACAAGGCAGGTGGAGAGGATCCCCAGGCATCTGCAGGCACAAGGGACTCATACAACTGCGATTTTCCTCCAGCCCTCGTGAAAGGGACTTCCAGGATACTCTTGGGAATGTACCAGCTCTCCTGCTGGAGCTTTTCTATGGAATATTTGAACACAAAGGGTAAAACTAAAGTCAGGTCTGTTCTGGAGTATGTTACACTTGTGCAAAACTCCGTTCTTCTGTTTATTTTCTGTTCTGGAAAGAACAGTCTGGGGTTCCTGGGCACTTCCTATTGAGTGATTCCATGAAAATAATTTTGTACTGAAAGGGGAAAGGAACTGTCTGTGGGAGGTCAGGTGTCCATGATAAAAGCTTTATGCTTTTCAGTCAGATAAGCCTTAAAATATCTCACAGTGTATAGGAATGCCTGGCTTCTAAAAGTCACCAGCTGAGTCTTAGAGGCTCCTTTGAAGAGCTGTTTTCAGGCAGGCAAATTGCCCCCCAGGAGGGACTCTGTGCCTGCTCTCCCGTGGCTCCGAGGGATCTCTGGCCCTTCACGCCGGCACCGAGATTTTCTCGGGAAGGGCCTCAGATCTCCGGACCAGTCTGGGACACAGGCAAGATCCCCCTGCAGTTTAGGACCAAATTGGCCCCCTGGAGGGACAGTGCTGTTGGTGCCCCCCGGGTTGGGGCACCCCGAGGACTCCAGCGCGCACCGAAAGGATTATTCGGGGAGATCCTCGGGGTGCCCGGCCCTGGGGAGCTCAAAGCAAGGTCCCTGCCATGGATTCAGGCATTGCTGAGAGTATCCCAGGGTCCCTGTCCCTGCTAGACATGGAGCTCTCTAATGGGCTGTAATTGGGTTCTAAAAGTGGTGCTCCAAGTGCCAAAGAAGCGTGGGATTGGGATTAAGAAATGAGCAGTGAGGGTCCAATTGGCTGTTTTCTCTGGAATGTGACTGTGAGAGCTGCAGGAGTGCCAGGTGTGTGTTCCAGTCCCCAGCATTTGGTTTGCACATGTCCTGGTCAGACACAAGTACAATTTCCTCAGTCCTGAACACAACAGAATGAGAATTATGGACTGGCAGTGTTAAGGTGATTGGTGTGACAGGGGTCAAACTGGGAAAACATTGGGGAATTCCTCAGTTTGTGTTTTTGCCAAACTCACCCAAACCTCTGCTAGGAAGTGATGGGCTGGAAAAGTTGAGGCAGAAATGGAATTGAAAACTGGGGCTCTTGACGCTGTAATTGCTGAAACTAAATGTGTCCAAGCAGCAGCTCTTGTTGTGCAGGGAATAACTCCTGTCAGCAGCAAGGCCCTGACTGAAGTGGCAGCTGCAGTTGTTCCTGTGGTGTGGGCCAGTGGAGCTGCAGGAGAGTGGAAGAGGGCAGAACCTGTTGGTATTACCCCTGATGTGGGATCTCTATGGGTAAGGCCAACCCAGTATCCTTTAAAATCAGAATGCCAGACTGGATTGGTTGCAGGAACAGCTAAATTGGCTTCTCCTGGTTTGCTTGTAGGACGTGAATGCAAGAACCTGCCAAGAAAACCAGTGGACAAGATGATTGATTAGTGCAGGACCTGAGAGAAGCACCTTGAATGACAACCTGGAGGAGTTTCCAGTATTGGATTTAAAAGATGGCCTTTGCATCTCCTTGAGCAAGGAAAGCCAAGAAAGCTTTGCTTTTGCAGGAGAAAATGGGGCAAGCGGGCAGGAAGAAGAGAAGCCCCGTGACTCCTCCCTGAGCCCCAGACAGCCCATGAACTGCCTTGCTGGGAATGGTGGGACGGGCTGGACTCTGCATTGCTCCCTCGGGATGTGTGGTAAG